GGGGGGGGGGGGGGGGGGGGGGGGGGGGGGGGGGGGGGGGGGGGGGGGGGGGGGGGGGGGGGGGGGGGGGGGGGGGGGGGGTACTCTTTATGTTTGCATGCCTTAGCGGTTAGACAATTGACCACGTGTCCTCGAGAGGACAGAGCATTTGGACCGATCACCGATCACCAACCGTTCCTTCCTACTTTGCCAACGGTGTGGGGGGGGGGGGTCATGTGAATGGATGTAGTTTTTAGACCATTGATCTCGAATCCCTACGACGGAGCGAAACGCCGGGTTTTCGCCCGCCCAGGACGGGGGCTCCGTCAGGGAAACGGTCGGTTGGCGCCTACGTCAATCACGCCAGGGTTGTTCTTGTGTGCTCCTTGTCCCAATGAACTGCTGCTGTTAGCACGACATAGACGGGCCAGTTATCCGATCCGGCGGGCTGAAGAGAAATGAACGCAAGGATCTCTTCTTCTCCTATCGACACAGTGAAACGCTCGCTCACCCGTCCGACACAATGCGCACGGTTCCCGGGAGGGCCGACTCGAACGCCGCGCCTCCGGCGGTGACGGTGAACACGTCGGCGGCTGCATTGATCGTCGTGTTGTAGTCACTCGACGTAACGTGCAGCCTCCTCCCTCTGAAGCGTCGAAACACCGCACCGAACGAAAAAAAAACAACAGGCATCATACTAACAACAGATGCATTCATCTGAAAAAACGAGAAATTCGAGTGCGCACCTATATACATTAGTCTATGAACAAGCGAGCGCGTTCAGCGTAAAACCGAGAACGGCGAGCGCGTTCAGTTCACTTTCTTGGTTCGTCGGGGCTCCCTTGAGCTGTTGCGAGTCAAACACATGCCCTCAGCTGTGTGAGCTTGGGAAACGTCACACAGCAGCTCGAAAGCCAGCTGTGCGTTGGCCCTTGCTGCTACCTGCTCATCTTGCAATCACCCCTTGATGTACACTGCTGTGCTCTCATGCGCCCACTCCGGAAAGAGAGAGAGAGAAAGAGTGCCCGCAGTTAATTGACTGGCCATTTTTTGAAAGGAACTTTCCAAAGAAAGGGAAAAATTCCTCGGTCGTCCGATGACGTCATCCACGGTCGAGAAGTCGCCTTTCGGCGAAATTCAAAATCTGAATTTTGGCCGTGGATGACTGAATTGATGATCACAGCAGCAGTAGTCACGCTCCCTCTCGGGAATCACCCAACCAGACATCAAGAGAGCTCATACAAGTGCATGCCTGCGCGATCTTCTGTACGTGTCCTCCGTGTCGGACATGGACGTGAAGTCGCTGATCTCGCTGCCCAGGTACGGGGTGAGGCCCAGGTCCGTCACAGTGATGCCGAGAAGCCTGATGAGGAAGTCGTTCTGCGTCACGTGCTGAAAGATGGCGATCGTCCAGCCCCGGCAGGCCTGGAAAATGTCCTGAAAAACAAAAAATAAGTCGTGGGTCCATGTGACGAACGATCCTCTCTTCCTTTCTCATGAATGATTTTCGTTTGGGGTCTCACCTCGAAATAAATAAAGCAGTTAACGGGGGTTTTGCCCGTGCAAGTGATTGCATTTGGTTTTCGTCTCAAGAATAAACAAAAATATATGTTCCAGTACACACCAACACGACTGACTATTAGGGTTGTCTTGTACACAAGTGTTCTTTCTACTCAAGTATTGCTTCATGCAGGCGGCTTCCTGCAAGACAAGGCAACAAATACCACAGTGGAACCATGTGAAACTAAATATCCTTCCTCAAGAAGAAAAAATACAAAGTGCATGGACAGAAAAAAATCCATCGGGCGTACGCACGAAACACTCGACACAGTCCGCCGGTGGGCCTCGAAGGGACCGCCCTCGCGAGGACTTGATCATTAATCTGTGAAACAGAGAGGGAGGGTTCGTAGCCCTGAACCCTACACCCACCCCGCACCCCTACAAAAACTATACTTGATCATCCTCGGGAAAGCTACAGTGCTGCCTTGCAAGCCAAAGCCACCCACCAACCAAAGGACAGGCGGCGCAACGGAGTGCGCAGCCATGGTCTGGGCTACAAGGCTATGTACACCAAGAGAAGAAAGACCACATCACAAATCAAGCACC